ACATCCGGGCTTCTCTCTGAAGAACAGTAAGATGGAGCACATGCTATACAACAATGGACTGATGCTTGTTACGAAACTATCCGGATATGGGCACAGTCTATTTTCCGTTCATAAGACGCAACTAGGAATTTAAGATCAACTTTCCGGAGACTATCAGCAGTGCAGAAAAGGACAACGAGTTCACAAATAGGCACGAAAATTGGACATAAGAGTGAAGAAACAACAAAAGTTGGTGAGATAATATTAAATTTTAAATTTTTAGAAAACGTATTTTGTTTTTATTCTGGAAGTGTGAATGCATTACATGTATCTAATTGATATATTCAATGTTTTCATGTGGGGCTTATTGTATATGAAGGCAACCTCAGAATGTACATGTATTAACAGGCATGTATAAAAATAGCTGCAAACAATTTTCTTCCATAAAAGTACTGCCGGTCAGTAGAAAATAGATTGTATACAAACACACATATTCGGGCTTCTCTGGACGTTTCCGTCATTTTTAAGGAATTCTCGAAATATCTTTATAGTTCCCCAATCTTTTCTCAAGTTTTACCAACTTTTTTGGAGTTCTTTGGACTTCGATGAAATTTTCGGAGAATTTCCTGCAGTTTAAAACCAAATAGTTTATGCAGTTGCAAGATGTTTTCAAAATATTGTAAAATTTAAAGGAACAGCCCTGAATTAATCGGATTTAATTCAAGATCTTTCAACTACCCTGAAAGCATAAACTTTCTACAGATTTTAGGGCTTTACTGAAGTTATTGTAACTGGATTTTTCCTTAAAATCTCTGAAATTCCTGAAACATCATTATGATCAATTGAGTTGTAATTTCTACAAAGAACTACAAATATGCTGAATTTTCCGTGTACGTAATATCAAACTATTGGAAGCGCTTGCCGGAAATTGACAGGCTGGTTGAAAATGGGCAACTAATTAGCACATTTATAATTCTGAATTTCCGAAGTGTTATTATTTAAAAAATTTCAACCATATTGCCAATAAATGACGGCGTGCCTAAGAATGTTATTTACGATATGGTCAAAAAATTCCGAAATAATAGACTTCGGAAATTTTGAATTATGAATGTGCTAATTAGTTGGCCCTTTTCAACCAACCCGTCAATTTCTGGCAAGCGCTTCCAATAATTTGATATTACGTACACGCAAATTTCAGCACATTTATAGTTCTGTGTCAAAGTTTCAGCTTATTTTTTAAATTTTTTTTTATTTTTTTTATTATAGTCACTTTAACGCTCTTGGGCCATTTGTGACTTGTCCGGGGGTGAGATTTGAACTCGTGACTTTAGCATGAGAGGTATGGATGCTAACCACTACGCCGGGGTCGCCCCCTTTCAGCTTAATCAGCATCAGATTAATTCAGCAACTTATCATAATAAAAGATAGTTGCAACATGCCAAAGTCTGCTAGTTTGTATGAAAATCGGCCTATTGCGCAATTTGAATGGCCAATACTGTACATGCAAGTTTTAATTTCGTTTTAAACTAGTCAACATCATATACGATTTAATCTGTAAACTTTATTTTTCTCTACACCTTTGTCGCAGACGTCGTCATTTCGATCAGAACCCAAGTAACCATAGATACGTTCGTCCTGAATGAACTATCTCCACCTCCTCAAGGTGGTTTGTTTAAATGGACGTTAATAAATGGAAGCATAGATACGTTATTCCGCCTTTTTTGCTATATACGAGCCTCATCAGAATTTACAAACACTGATATAGCCGTTGTTTAGCTGTATACAGCTAAAAAGGCTATATAACGTGCCTATGGTTACTTGGGCTCTGATCGAGTGACGTTTTTGTACTACAATTTATTGAAAAGTTACAAAGATTCCATTTTGACAAAAAAATCATCATCCTGGCCAAATTTTTATAAAAATGTGAATGATTGGCCATGACACACAAGTATGCAAAGTTTTATGCAAATCGGAGAAGGTCGAGTACGCTGTTGAATATATTTGAAGTCGGTCAACTGATTTCAGAGATATGATCAGATCATGTTCCGGTTTGTATAGGCCGTGAGACTAAAACCAACATGAAACGAATAAAACCCATCAGGCGAAACATCAAATTACATTAGAGTTCGTAGTCAAGAACAATGGCACGCTTACTGAGTGCCTTGTAATCCTTTGGTGACATATGGGTGGTGCCCCCGGGGAAGTGGCCAGTTTCTAACTTAGATCAAATCCCAAGGGCGTAGCCAGGTTTCAAAATAAGGGGGGTGGGGGACATTTTTAAAAGATGAAGGTTTAGGCCAGTTGCCAACGCTGAACGCCATTTGATCGAGTGCTATTATGTCGAATGCTGAAAACTTGAAAATCGCATAGTTCCGGAGTATTGACTGGATTCATCTCCTAGGGAACCACTGTGAAGCCATTTTCGCTGTACCACTGTTTGGTGGAATTTGATTAGTAGCAGCTTGCCAAGTCCGGCCAGAATAGGCAATCCAAGGGTCATGTTTTTTTTTATGTTTTTGGAGAAATTTCTTAAATTTCATATAAGATCAGTAGACTACAGAGAAATTCAGGGATAGAATAGGGATGTTTAGCTTTCTTATTTAATTAGCTCTTATTAATTTACAAGTTATTGGCGAACTATTGCAGACTTATAAAAAAGGGTAATAATTTTTTCAACATTAGATTTTTTTTTAGAAATTGTGGACTTTCATAGATTATTTCTAAATGCAAATGCAAGTAAACAAGATTTTTTTTCAATATATAGGAACTTCGATGAATTTGTGAGATCTTATAATGATTTAGGACTCTGATTTCTTTAGTAATTGTTCTGGAACATTTGAAGATGTTTGAATTCCGGGCAAGAACATTTTTTTAGCAATATTCCAGACAATTTGCAAAATTTCATAGTTGTGAAAATTTTGATGATTTCGGACCTTAGTTTTTTTATGATATCAGAATTAAAAAAATCATTTCAAGAGAAAATTTCAAAAACGGATTTAATTTTTTTTGGATTCTTGAACTTGAAAAAAAAATCAATATTTTGGGTTTTCAATTTCATAGACAAGAAAATATCGAAGACCTAGCAAATATATCAATATTGTAGAATTTTTCGGGCACCACGGATGACATTTCAGTGTTGAGGTGTTAATAAAAAATATAAGACTTACTTATCAATCAATCTATCAAAGAAAACAGTTTCAGAATAAGAATAATTTTTACGATTCAATGGAATAAAATTTCAATTTCTGGACTTGAAAAAATTTAATCTGCTATTGGTAGCCATTTAAATTCACTTTTCCAGACATCAAGTTTAAGAGTAACATTTCGAAGAACTAATAGAGGCTTGTCGGAGCACTAAGTGCTCCAGTAAGCACAGTCTGTTAGCCACTGCCCTCGAAAAAATGGGATTATCTTTGGTATCTCCTTAAAATTCTCCTTTCACAATTCTCTTCGGAGTTTCAATAAGTTTATTCTCAGAACTCTTAATTTTTCGCAGAATTCTCTAGGATGCTCCCAGAGATTTTCTTAAATTTCTATTCAGAAATCTAAAAAAAAAAATTACATGTTTTTTTATTTGTCTAGAATCAATCTTATTTTTGTTAACCATCCTTGGAATAATTTTTTTTTTTTTTTTTTTTTTTTTTTTTTTTTTTTTTATTATTATAGTCACTTTAACGCTCTTGGGTTATTCGTGACTTGTCCGGGGGTGAGATTTGAACTCGTGACTTTGGCGTGAGAGGTATGGATGCTAACCACTACGCCGAGGTCACCGCCCCTCGGAATTATGTTCCCTTGGAATTTTTATTAGGATACCTGAAAAATCTGCTCAGAATAACTTTGGATTAATCTTAGATTTTATTTTTCTTTTCTTATGATTTTATCCAACAACCGGATTATTGTCAGCTTCTTATGATAATTACTACGGCTATTACTCCTATTGCCAAGGAAAATGATATATACAGAGGAAAGGAAGTTGAGGATTGTATTGCGTGTCAGCGGCGCCGGTGGTGTAATGGTAAGCGTGATTGCCTCTCACCCCAGCAGGCCTGGGTTCAATCCCAGTCGGCACCGCCGGGATATTCTGAGGCATAACATCTCTGATCACGCCTTACTTCGGAAGGGAAGTAAAGCCGTTGGTCCCCGATTCATGAGTTGATGGGTCAATAGGTAGGGTCCATGTGTGGGAGCTGCCTCCCTGGCGTCGGTAGCATTGGTGCTCAGCACGGAAAACAAAATCGACGGAAAACAAATCAAGGAAAAAATGTATTGCGTTGTAAATAAAAATAAAAATAAGGTATTACCGTTTGAACTCACTTGAACTTTTATTCTCTTCTTCTCATAGAGTTCTTTTCAGAACTATCTTGAAATTCTCCTAACAATGCACCATACAGGTGTCAAAATTGACACTTTACTTGTACTTTATGCTCAAAATTACAGTTTTTTTTTATATAATCCCTTGGAATTATCAATCGGATTGTTCTTCAGCTATCTTCAAAATTTGTTTGGAATTCTGCTCAAAATTTTCTCGAAAATTCTTGGAAGTTTCAGACTTTAGAAAGAAATCCTGAACTGGACCGGGAATCTAACCCAGCCACCTCCAGCATTGTCTTGCTTTGTAGCTGCACCTTTACCGACTGAGCTAAGGGATGCCCCTAAGGGAGATTAGTGTTCATTCTCCAATATTTGGGTCCATTGCTAAAGCAGCTCAGTAGCGTTCGATCTAATGATCTTCAAAAAACTTCATGTTCCCGCAACTTAAACAAATTTCAAGGTTCGGAGACCTGGAAAACAATTTTTTTATGAGACAAATTTGAAAATTGAAAATTTAGAAAATTTGATCAGTTGCTAAGAATTTTGAACTGACGGTTTTGAACAAAATTAAAAGAAATTAATTTAATACTGAGTTCCCCCTAACTCAGTATTAAATTAATTTCTTTTAATTTTGTTCAAAACCGTCAGTTCAAAATTCTTAGCAACTGATCAAATTTTCGCACTGTGCATAGGTGTAGCCCCCTCTACACCTATGCACAGTGCGGTTAGAACGAGGTGAACATAAAGTTCAATTTACCCATAGTAATTCTCATTTAATAGAGGCTGAAAGTCTCTATAATAAAGCAAAAAGAAGAATTCCCATATAAACTTTAATGGGATAGTACAGTATGAGATCGTAACCAAATGAGCTCACATTTTGGAAAATGATCAGCGTACTCATTAACTCAGTAAAATGTCCATCGAATTTTCTCATATTCGATCAGATTTTTGAGGAAAATCGAGTAAAAAATTACTCACTCGTTGCAATTGCCGCACTTTTTACAATTTTGATTTGAATTCGACTCAATTTTGAGTTGGTATATCGGCTGTAGATACATTTCCGTGATTTAATTGTACTCATGAATTAAATACTAGCTTCTTCCATATCCACATATGTTTTCCTGAACTTTTTAATAGTTAAATGTATACAGCACTGTGATAATTAAATCGTATTAATTATTTTTATTCTTCTCTGTAAATTCAGGATTACATACAATATGACAGATCTTTGACTCCATTTTGACACTTTGATTTCCATCCATTCCATGCAGAATATCCATGACGAGCAAAAACCTTGTTAGCACAAGTTACTGCCTTAGTAATATCGTTAGTCATTAAATCTGAAATGAATAAGGTTCAAAATTGGAAAAAATATTTATATAATATATAATATTTTCTTTAATTTATTTACTTACCGGAACAAGAGACTTTGCAATCATTGTTTTTAGAAGTGTGCCCCGGTGATGAACACCAGTAATTGTTGTTGATTTGGAATAGCCCGTAATCGGTGGATCCATTCTTATTCCTATTGGTCTTGTTTGTGGTTAGACTACTTTCTGCTTTTGCCATACAGACAAAGTTGTTCACCTTATTCTTATCAAAGTTGTACCTGCTGCGAAGAAGTTTGGCCAGTTCACATTCGGTAAATGTTTTGGCTTCAACGGCCCCAAACGCAGTACAAACTGCTGCAATTGCAATAATAAATGCGATCGTTTTCATCATTGATGGAGCTTTTACATTTGAACTGACGAGCAACAGAAAATTGTAGCTCATTATATATCTAGTTAAATTAATTTTGTTTGTTCATTCGAAATATATGCACATGAAATGAATATTTATTCAGTTTTATTCTGAAAATGTCGTAAAGCACATATATTGAAGTTGTGTAACTATTGGAACAAGTTGATTGGTTACAACCCGAGCAGGAACGAATATCTCGATACCTTAAATTAGTATGGATGACATAAGAGGTAAAATCGACAGTGAGTATGTCTACTCGAGCAGAAGAAAATAACTAATGAATTCCTAATTCTGACCTGATGCCAAATTTTGGTATTGACCAGCATGACATAAGAGGAAAAATACCAAAGAATAATACCAAAATATTATAGGCAACATACCTTGTGAGCTTGAGCTTGAGCTTGATTGACCGCCCACGGTTGCTACTCTGTTACTGCCAGATCAGCTGTAATTACACAGAGAACCAATAGACGATGCTTGGGACTAGCAATCATCCTCAATGTGTAAAAACTGGTGATCTTTATATTAGGCAATACCAGCGCCGGCCGCGCCCGAACACAGGTCAAGAAAGGAATGGGAAGGATTGTGTTGACATGACACTCGCTTTGATGGAAGCCGAGAACACCTCTGCACTTCCATGAGGAATCACTGGGATGTTGGATAAGAGGGTTGGGTTTACAGCAGGGTTCGTTTTGGTAAACGATAAGCTGAATTGATGTCCTAACGATCCTATAACGCGAAGGAGCTTGGGACTAAACCCACGGTCTTCTGCTCAGTAAGCAAAAACGTTTGCCACTAGGCAGACGAGCACCTTTTTAATCACCGAGTTGCTGTTATTACCATGTAGTCATATTAACAAATAAAACGATTGAAGAATCTTGAATGTGGATGGGCCTGAGATTAGACTCATGATGTTCTGCTCAGTAAGCAAAAACGGTTGCTCTAAGGCCACCGAGCCCCTCATATCACATAATACCGTTGCTCAAATTTGTGTATCCATTTAAACCCGGAACCAACGACAACAACGAGTTTCGCAAAATACACGATACACAAGCGATTTTACCATAAATCTATTTGATATTTAAGGACCTGGGACCGCATTTTTCTGCTCAGTAAGCAGGCCACTGTAACCGACGATCTTTCAAATCCGAAAACTAAAAACTACGAAAAAGTACTTAGTTCCACTTTCACGCGACGTTCAATGACAGGGTCCTAACCAGGATTACATCTGAACAATCCAAATCTGGAAAACGCCCACCTAAACCTGTTCTAATCCACCTGAAATGACTAACGAATGGAAGACTTTGACTACCCAGCCATGCAATAGTCTCATTCCGTGCCTTATGGCAACTTGATGATTCTATTGCGCTCATCTTTTGGCACCACCCAGGGGAGACTTGGTCCTGTACCCAATGCTTAACTTATCTCCATTCTTTTCAGCTACTCGCAATTTCTTGTGATATAGTGGGCGGAATATTATTATATGAGACAATTCAATGCAGACGTCTTTCCAAATTTTAAAAGATCGACAGGTAATCGGTGAGTTACCACGATAGTTGCTATTCAACAACTCGACAACGTCCCACGTCAACGCCTACTATGAGAATTTCCCATTGCATACGTCAACGAAATGACGTCATCGAGCTATCGATCAACTACCCTGGTTATCGCCTGGTACCTTATAGCACGATGCTAGGAGGCGAACCGGAAGAATCGATGAGCTACCTCTCCCCCTTGTTATAGGCAACATACCTTGTACATAACAAAAATTGATATTTGGATACCAAAAGAATACCTGTGTGGTATTGTTTTGGTATTGGATTTGCATAATTTGGTATTGGAATAGTATTTTGAGAACATTTTTTTGGTATTATTTTTTGGTATTTTATCTCTTATGTCAGGCTCATCCATACCAATCTAAGGTATCGAGATATTCATTCCTGCTCGGGTAAGGGCGCATACGCCATGATCGATTCGCTTCATCGATTTTCTCTTTGCATTGCTACAGCTAAGCGAAACAATTTTCTAAAATTTGTTCAATGCAGAGTTGTAACAGGTTGTATTGGCTATCAAAAGAAACAACACACAGCTCACTGTCAAAAGACCAAAAAAATAATACAAAAAAAAAAATGTTCCCACAATACCATTCCAATACCAAATTATGCAATTGCAATACCAAAACAATACAACACAGGTATTCTTTTGGTATATAAATATCAATTTTTGTTATTTACAAAGTATTTTGCATGAAATGTTTTTGTATTATTCTTTGGTATTTTTCCTCTTATGTCATGCTGATCAATACAAAATTTTGGTATCAGATCAAAATGAGGTATTCATTAGTTATATTCTCCTGCTCGGGAAAGTATTACAGTAAGTAATACATGTTTCTTATTTGGATTTTTTGTTACTTAACTCGACTGAAATGACCTTTTCATAAAGCCAAACGAAATTGGTTTAGTTTATTTTTTTTTTTTATCTAGTTCGTTTATATGTAAGGCTTAATCACATTAGCTTTACGGAGCCGATAATTCATTGTTCTTTGTTTGTAACAAAATTCACTTAATTCTATGTCTAGTAGGAGTTGGACCGAATACTCGTGGCTTACCCGAGGTTAGAGGTGTACATTGTCGAAGGATAGGAAAAGAGAAGGAGTTTGGGGGTAGGGTTTTGTTGTCTCATCAGAGCGATGTCGCCAGTATGAACGGTAGTGTGGTTCTAGATTCGTCTGGAGTTCGACCGGCTATGGTGACCAGTGGGCGACGATGAGACTCATCGAGACGGGGGACAAGACAAACATAAACTAATAAAGAGATACAAAAGACAAACGAATTAAATTCTTATAGGGATAAGAGGGGCATAGTGAGCATCCCGTGCACCAGCTTAGACTTCCGGCCGTTCGGAACAAATTGGTTGGTAGTATGATCAATATCATAATGATATTGAACCTACTACCAGTTGATTTGTTTCATGCAGCTGGAGATCCAGAGCCAAACTGCGGGATGCTCACTATGCCCAACCTGTTCACTATGCCCCTCCTCCCCCTACTAGACATTTGCAGAAACACATAAATCGACTGCATATAGCAGAGATCGTGGGTAGCCAACACGTCTCTGATAGGGATATAGGGTTGTCTTCCTTGGGCCTCGAGAAATTGGTTTAGTTCTACTTCTGTTCTAAATCTGAAACGTTATTTATAATATTAAGTAGTTAATAATTAAAGATATAATATGAAAAAATTTGCCATACCATAGCAGGGTTCCGTGCTACTTCATCGTATGGCACTTATGTGCCGCATCTGATCGTTAACATTAATTTAAGGGGGTATTCCCGATCTTTTTTTTCAAAAAATCAAATTTTTTTTTTCACGTTTTTTTGTACGTTAGACTATATACTTTCATCCCCCCAAGCCGTTTTCCGATCAGCGAATTCGGTGTCCAGGCATAGCTGACTAATGGTAAGAACCCCCAAAATGGTTTTAACTAAAGTCAACACTTTAAACGCGTTTTTCTCGAAACCACATTTTTTTTCTCAGAAACTATAAGAGATATTGACTTGAATCTTTGCGCATTTTGTTCCTTATTAAATTCTTTGGAGCTTCTCCCACTTTCAGCCAAAAATATTAACATTTAACATTGTTTGAAGCACCTTAAAGCTGCAAAAAAGCGGGCTAAAAATCGCCTGTTTTTTCATATGGCCGCCATTTTGTTAATTTGCAAGATTTTTTGCTGCCAACGGGAGAAGCTCCAGAGAATCTTATGCAGATTATTAATTTCATCACGAAATCTGTTTCAGATGAAGCCGTTCCAGAGAAAAGTCTCGCCCGTCCAGGCGTTTGCGGCGAACAGGGGTCTGTTTGCCGCCATTTTGTGACGTCAATAATGTCTTTTTTTGTGTCGAAAAAAATTTATTTGTAAACTTTAATGTTCAATAAACAAGAATCCCAAAGAGTTAGGCGCATTTCTATTCATTTTCCTTGAAAAAAAAATTAATTGAAAAACAGGCCGAAAAAAGGCAAAAGATTGGGAATACCCCCTTAAAAGGTTTTAGCTATCATTTTATCATCAACTTCTATGTCTACAAGAAAAATTAAGATAGGTGTAAAAAGTTTAGGACTCAACCTCGGAATGACCGATTTTTCGGGGGTATGAAGAAGCAAAATGTAATCAGATGGAGGCCAACTAGCATATTCCAACAGTTGCTGGTTAGCATGTTTCCATTTTTTATGTTCAAGATGTATCCAGACCACGACTGAGAAAGTGGCATATAAATTTCCAGCTAAAATTAAATGATGACGTTATGTCTGCACCTATTTGAATGCGTTTGCATTTCAAGTAGTAGCAGTAGCAGTAGCAGTAGCAGCAGCAGCGGCATGCATGAATATTTAATTAGCGTACCATCGTGACGTATGAAATATGTTTCAAAATGTAAATTAATAAAGTTTGTTCTTAGATTTCAGTTCGCTCTTTTCCCATTCCCATGCGTTAGAGTTGCTACAAGTTGCTGCACGATGTTGGCAAGCAGAACAAATGCAGATGTTGCAATTTTACGTTTGCGTTCTTCACGGAATAATAGGAATAATTTGAATAAATGTTGAGTGAATGCCTATTTCAAGTCTTGCATTGCGTGTGTTGAAGTTGTATAAAACATGAAGGATCAAATCTAAGATCTAGATTACATCGTAAACATACTTATTAAGCTGATTAAAGTTGGGAGGTTTGCTGAACTATTCAAAGCAGCGTGTAACAACACGAGATTAACAGTACCACATATTATAGTTATTTTAAAACAGTTTATTTCCAATTATTGCCATCACTCGAATAAGGCGGTAGGTAATTTAATCTACCTTCTTCTATGGCTATGACGTTTCATCTGGAAATATATCAAGCTGAACATTGTATTAGGTCCTAAGTAACAATGATCGATTCTCTTCGCTGACTTTGTCTTTCGTGTGCATAACCGTTTCTTGTTGCGTTTGTAATATTAGATGCTAGATAAA